ATGTTACAATCAATAAGGCATTCAATCGAATGGGATGACTTATACAATTTAGAAAATCAAAGTAACCTTTCTATTGTTAAGCCAAACAACAGGGTTAGAGTTAAACTACAGTTTCTACCTGATGGTTGCTACCATACTTCACCATCGTCACGGTTTTTAGTTGGTTACGCAAAGTTACAATTAACTATTATCATTAAAAGCTGACTGAAACCCTGAAAACAGCATTCTAATAGCACCTGGGAAACTCAAAGACATGGCTTCCCACCCCACTGAGCCAGCATCCCCGTGTGCCCCCGGCAGCCTTGCTCACCACCCGGGCAGCGCTTTCCCGCGTCAGTCCTGCGTGACCGGCAGGCAACCAGCAGCGCAGATATGTCTCCACAACATTCTCGGCTGCACATCTTTAAGGAACAGTCCGGGACTGCAAAGGGGGAAAGGCCACAAGTCCCCGCCTCCAAACTGTCACTCTGATCCCTCACAGCCTGCTGCTGTCTGCAGGGTCTGTGCCTTGGGGTTGGGGATGAGGCTTCAGCACCGCTCAGGCTGTAGCTCCACTAATCCCCTCGGTGGCAAAAGAAAGTGTTGCCTTCACTTTCTTTTGCTTCAAGAGTAAAAGCTGGATCATGTGGCTGCATAATAATACCAATAATATGTTGTTGGTTCTAATAAACTGGTTGATAAGCTCGCGGGGCACTGATGTCCCGCCGTGGTTGAAAGCCTGGTGTCGCCTTGCAGTAGGCGGGGCCTTCATCCCAGAGACAGTGACAGACATCGGCGCTGGCCAACTTCAGGCCAAATCCATGTCTGCATGTCAGTGCACGGCCTGGAAGCTTGGAATGGCTTTGGCTTTATAAATGAATAAAAAAATATTTTAAAAGAAGAATTATATTTGATAACAAATAAATATATGAAATTCAAAATGTCCGTGTCCTTAAATAAAGTTTGCTGGAACTCAGCCATGTTCTTTCATGACCGATCGTCTGTGGCTGTTCCAGGCTGTTCCAAGTCAAGTTCCGTGGCTGCAACAGAGACCACAAGACCTGCAAAGCCCGAAATAGGTCTATCTGGCCCTTTACAGAAAAAAGTGTGCTGCCCCTAGTGTAGGCCGTGGTCCCCAACCTCGGCTGGGTGCCGGGGTCCTGCTGAGGCCCTTTGCAGAACCAGTGTCCAGGCCTTACACCGAGCGGCCAGGCTTTCCAGGCTGATTGATCTGGAAGCCTGAGGCAGGTGATCTCATGAGCTTGCGATGGGCACCACCTCCTCCTGCGGTTCCAGCTCCCGCTGTCCATCCTCCGCCCCTCACCTTCTCTCCGATGTCTTCCCGACTCTGGACATGCCCTCTGGCTGAGAGCTTCACTACAGGATGCCTTCCCAGGAACAACACACGCCCACACGTGCACACAAGCATGCCAGTCTCTCACATACATGCATGAGCACACCCATGACACATGTGGTCTTCTGCACACATGTGTGCACATGGACACACAGCCTGTACACATAAACACAATGTGATTTTCAGAGCTCAGAAGAGTGAAAAGCGATCCTACTAAATCGCGGCTGCAGGATCCTGATCAAATAACACACCTGCTTCCCTCATTGCCAGCGCTCTGGCCCTTCATCTGGAAAAACAGCCTTTGCTCTTGGGTTCCAGGATCATGTTGTAGGTCTCCAGGTGGTTTTCCATTCTCTCATCGGCTTCTTCCACACCGTGCCTCCAGGTGGCAGCAGAGACTCACAGCTGAAAGGCTTCTCATTTGTGTGTGTGTGTGTGTGTGTGTGTGTGAGAGAGAGAGAGAGAGAGAGAGAGAGAGAGAGAGAGAGAGAGAGAGAGAGAGAGAGAGAGAGAGAGAGAGAGAGAGAGAGAGAGAGAGAGAGAGAGAGAGAGAGAGAGAGAGAGATGGGGGTGGGGGACTGTGTCAGTGTGTATAGGTGTCTGGTGAGTGTATGTGTTGTGTGTATATGTGTGTCTTTTGTGTGTGGTGTGTGAATGTATGAATATGTCTGTGCGTGCATGTATGTGGTGTGGGTGGATGTATGGTGTGCGTATATTTGGAGTGCATAAGTGTGCATGTTTGTGTATGTATGTGAGTGTGAGTGAGTGTGTGTGTGTGTGTGTGTATGTGTGAAGCTCGGCTATTTTAGTTGACCAGTTCCCCAGAGAGGCCCATTAAGGAAGACTGTTCTGGGGCGACATGCTGGGTTCCAGGCTACTTCCTGAGAAGAGGGGACCCTCCTGCAGAGTCCTCCCTGCCTGCTGAGCAGGGCTGGCGGGATCACAACCCACAACCACCGCACAGGGGACTGTGCGCCTAAGACTCTGCCTCCCTCTGCACTCCAGGCGTGGCTCACCGGCTCCCACCCGGCACTGCCAGGGACAGGCTGCCAGCGTGCCTTCCTCTGTGGAAGTTTCCTCTTGGGGGGGGGCTGTCTGCGCCCCTCCATTAGGTCCCAGTGTCTTCTGCCATCACACCACCAGGGGGCAGTGCTTCTTGCCTTCCTACCTGTACTGTGGCTTCCCTGCTGGGGCGGGCAGGCCACTGTGTGGTGAGGGGGCCAGTGAAGGCCTCTGCGTGAGTGGCTCTTGGCTGCTGCCACCTTATCTTAGGAGCAGGCGTGGGGCTGTCATCTTACCTTTCCGACCTGCTGTTAAACTGACAATGGAAAACTCTGTCCCTAATTGTTTGGCTTAGGGCATGTGACTTAAAAAAATTATGAGAGGGGCATTAAGTTATGGGAAGGTATTGATAATTATGCTTCCAGATTAAAATGTTATTTGGCTTGCAGACAAAAAAGGCATGAAAAGACAGGGGGTGCAGCCACACAGGCCCCGTGGTGCAGAGAGAGGGCACGGAATTCAGGCCCTTACCTACCGCTTCCCTCAGCTGTAAAATGGGGACACGACGTCTGTCTGAGCTGCGATGCTGAGAGAATTAAGTGAGCAGTGTGAGGGCTTCATAAGTGAATACCGCAGGGGCAGTTTCTGGATATGACGGTGACGATGACAACATTCCCTTTCGGATACCTAACAATGTGCAGGACACAGCCCAGGCCCCTCCCGCTGGCTCACACCCGCTCTGCTCACCCCTCCCCTCCAACAGCCCCTAGGAACTCGGCTGGTGGTGTGGTGTGGGGTG